TCTAGAAGTATGAAAAATAATTGAGTAATCACTGTAACACCTATCAACTTTACACAACAAAACATTAAAAATTTAAACACTCAAAAGAACACTTTTAATTTCTAAGTAGATTATTACATAACTTTAATGTCCCTGCTTTTATAAAAGAAAAGAAAAGCTAACACTTATTAATAATACCGAATTGTTTTTACCCTTTTCAAATTGAATCTTACATTTAAATGAAATTTACTATAGAAAAAAAAACATGTGATATAGGAAATGTGTCCACGAGAAGGACACGTTTTGCTCACTCAGTTCAATAGTTTAGCTTGATTTATTTTTTATTTTTACATTTGGTTAACTATTAGGTATTTATTTTACTTCTTTATTAGATATTCTTTATTACATAATTTTACCATAACTTTTAAAATGTTTTATTATGAATACACTTAAAATGTATCTGAAAATTATACTATTAAACGCTTTTTAATTTACGTACATTGTATTGTGTCATAATAAATTTACATACATTATCAAGTATTTATTATTATAAATGTTATTTATCATTAATAGTCGTAAACGCATTATTACCTTTTTAAGATGTCATTTTTTTTATAGGATAAGGGTGACAAACGAGCACACAGTCCACCTGATGGTAAGTGGTTGCTGCGGCCCATAGACATCTACATCTATCCTCGTTTGCGAATTAAAATGCAGATGCTTTGCCACCCGTGAGGACTAAGATGGAATGCCTCATTTCCAGTAAAAAGGGCCTCCGGCCACCTGCACTCACCGAGCGAAACGCAGAGGTAAACCTCTACTTCACGCTGGTATTCTGTGAGGTCGTGGTGCCACCCCGGTTTGAGCCGGCCCATCCGTGCGACAGCAAAAGCTGCCGCGTGGCTCTACCACTGTTAAAAACTCGTAAGGAATATGTTTATCTCATTTGAAACACAAATTTATGAAAAAATAGGCTATAACAAATATAAGTTTGTATATCAAAATATATGTTGTATTTGTTGTTTTAAGTATTTTTAGTATATAATAACATAATTTTAGGTTTCATGGTCTACAATAAAAGCAAAAAACTATTACATTATGAAACTTATAATAATAACGGATCGATACTGTTTCGACTTGATTTTAAAAAGCAATATATGTATAAGCCAACTTTAGTTGAAAATTGTTCAACTTTTACATAAACAAAAAAAAAACCATAACATAAAATAGAAAATTTAAGGTTAAATCATTAATTTAAGGAAAAAATCTTGTAAATTCATATAAAATATACGCGAAATATATACGCGAAAATGTTTTTTTTTTTCATATTTAATTAGTTATCTTTTTGTGTACATGTGGTTGTGTGTCTATAATTACTACATGTTTAATTTGTGAGTGTTAAATAATTGCCTGTATTTAATTAATATTAGTGGGCTGAAATGTGCGCCATGCACTGTACTTTATTGTATAAATATAATATTTTTATACTCTTCTCTGATTATGTTCGTATCTCTAATTTATTTCAACATCTTCCCTATTATTTTTTTTTAATTATGTTGAATTTTAAACTTTAGGTAATTGTTTCTATATAATATTAAACAATCTTTTATTACTTTATTATAACTTTTCATCATTTTTATAACGTAATTATTAATATTACTTGTGTAATATGGTACATATATATTACAATAATAATTTACATAATTATTTTATTTTATTTTAAGCCCTATACTCTATATTATTGTGATTATGGATAAAATATATTATTTGCTATATGATTATAACACGTGGATTATATTAGGTATTTATTTAATTATACATGTAGTTATGTGGATCGATCCTATAGGTACTACATGTGCAACTAGTAGGTAGCATTTTGGTAGCATCCTAGTAAAGAAATGCAAATAACTACCTATCTCACTTTATAGATTTGGTCGGGCATCCCCTTAATACCTTGTATGTAACTCATTTTATTTTTTGTCATGTCCTTTTATGATTTTAAATTTTCTCATTTCATTGTACTTATTTTCATTCCAGTACGACTACTCCTATTTACTTTGTTTAAATTATTAGGCCTTAAGTTATACATATACGAGTATGTATTTATATTTTCTTTTATAATTCTTGTATGTATATACTTTCTTTCCTTTCATAATAATTTATTCTTTTTGACCTTTTAGCTAGCTTAATTTGTTTTCGTAATTCTATTCACTTATATATTTATTTATTAATTAGATATCGGGAATCGGAGTATTAATTCACTTCATTTATATTTTATTTCGTGATATTTATCACGCGGGTACTTTATAAATATGGGCCCCCCATTTACTTGGGTATTATATTACTTTTTCATAACATTCCTTTCATTTTATTGGTACATAAACATTTTCTTATCATACTATATCAAGGTAAAACTGTACCTTGGGTTGTGCGCACAACCTCGAGGTCAACTTTTAAGTCATTTTAAAAGGATTCCAACAATTGTCACGGAGGAAAACTAAGTTCACACTATGATCCAATGAAGGATGTGACCTCTATGTACCATTATTAAGGGTAACAAATTTAAGACTTCTCTGGTCCCCAACAGTACTAATATGAGTAAACTCGTTCACATCACTTGTACTGAAGGTATTGTTCCCTAGTACCCGTTACTCCCGATTTTATCATCCAATCATGGAAACATACCCTGCTTGAGGACTATATGCTTTACCAGTGATGGACGTTCCCGTATCTCTCCATTTACTTGTTTATCAAGGTCAACATATATTTCTATTCTGTTAATAAATCTTATTTCCTTCTTTATTTATACATGACCGTGTTTTTTTTTACTAACATTTAATATCTATTTGAGTGTGTCGGTTATTTTTATTCACTTGCATGCTCCACTTCCATTTACTAACTTGCATTATTCTCGCTCATAATGAATTCCACACCAGGAGTTTAAGCATTCATCAATATTTGGGTGATCTGTCCAATATTGAGGAAACTTAGCAACTCAATCATTCGTATTCATTCTTTCGAATATTCTTTTCTTCCATTCCTCATATCTTTTAATTACCTACATTCTAATTTTGTACAATAAAAGCACAATTTTTTTTGCAAATAATATAAAACCATAACTGAATAAAAGTGAATATAAAATCATCTTGACCTTAATAAAAATATGCCACAGAAGTGCATACGTAACTTAATTTATAATTATTGCGTTTTGATTATTTTTTAAGATAAAGCAGTAATGAAAATATTAAAAAATCAATTGAATCGTAAACTATCTGATAATTACTTTCAATTTAAACATAGGTAACATATTAAATACAGAATATTTAATACATAACATTAAAAAGAAATAAAAAATATATAATAGCAAAAAGAATATAAATAAAGTTTTAAATGGAATTAAAATCACACGGGTGCGAAGTTACCTCTTAATTTCTTCTTTGTTCTTTTTAACTCAATTTTTATATTCTTCTGGACGAAGCCTGCAAAAGTACAACTGTTTCTTTCCTTTTAAAATTAATCTGCTGTTTCTTGAATTTTGCTCATTATATAACAAATCACTTTTTACTTTCCTCTTAGTTGCCTTCATAGTACTACTTCATATTATACATTATACTTTTTAATTTTTCTGTCACCTTCTGTAAAATTATTGTTAAGGCCTCTTCTTGTATTCATATTAACCCTTTGTCTAGTAGAGGCATTATATTTGCCGACATGTTTTCGTGGCTCAACTAAAAGAAGATTTGTATTAACGAAACGTTTCATCATTTCAGGCAATAGACAACAAACTAGTACGATGGAAAAAAAAATTGGTAACATTAATTTGACATTTGTCAAATAAATGTCAAGTTAGAATTTGTGGTTTTTTCGATTCTCGAGAGTAATCCGGCTCAATCTCTACAAAAAACTGTTATTTTGGTAAGTTTTTTTTAATAATCGTTAGATTTGTGTTTTTATGTCAATCTTGGATAATTATTTTAGATCAATATACAATATTATTATATAAATTGGGAAATATCACGTCGGCAGTATATTTGCCACTACCAGTTAGTACATTACCTGTTGATGGCAATATATATGCCAGTACCAGTGAGATTTATTTTTATTTACAGAATAAAATATGGAGCACCGTCGTCGGTCGATAAACGATCGCGAAATTGAGTTGCAGTTGGAAGCCATGTTTGGCCTTTCAGATGGTACAGATTCAGAAGACAATTTGGAAGATTCCGATACTGATGGCATTGAACAATTGCTTTCGCCTAACAACGATTCCTCTTTTCAACCTTGCATTGAACCAGACTTTGCAGACTCTTTGTTGACAGCTAGAAGTAGTAGAAGACACGGAAAACATGGGCCAGAACAGGCAACGGATGAATGGGAAGAAGATGACGACCATGAGATTGAAGACGAAATAGGTACAGAAAACAACAACAGAAGAGAGAATATTCGGAATGAGAAAAGTGAAGGGACAACAGATTGTGAAAGTGATAATGAAGTGGAGGAAACGTTAGAGTACTGCGTGCTTCAACATCTAGCGCCACCACTGCACAACCCTTTGATTCTACATCAATCAATACACGAGATGCAGAGGTGACTGTACCCACCGCCTTGGTTTCAGAAGAATCAGATTCCGATGAAGATGAAATAGAATGGACGAAAGTTGATTGGACAAATGATCCGAACGTGCCTTCCTTCGATGAAGACGAACTTCAATCGCAGAACCATTTTCCGAGTAGATCTAGACCCATCGCTTACTTCAAAGTATTTTTTGATAATGATGTGATTGAAAATCTACTTGTTCAATCGAACTTGTTTGCTCGTCAATCAAATGTTAGAAATTTTACTCATATTACTAAAGACGAACTCAAAGCATATCTTGGAATGTTAATACAAATGGGGATACACAAACTACCGTCAATTGAAGATTACTGGTCTAGCAATCCAGCATTATGTGTCCCTGAGATTGCTGAAACCATGACACTCCAAAGATTTCTAGATGTCTACATGTAAATGACAACGAACAGATGCCCAGAAGAGGTGAAACAGGTTTCGACAAACTTTATAAAATTCGCCTACTACTAGATCAAATAAACCAGAGGTGTCAAAATAATGCCCGAAATACAAGATCTCAGTCCATTGACGAATCAGTGCTAAAGTTCAAAGGACGCAGTGCGCTAAAACAGTATATGCCCCTCAAACCTGTCAAGCGCGGTTACAAAATTTGGGCTAGAGCAGATAGCAAGACTGGGTATCTGTTTCACTTCCAAGTCTATACTGGTAAAGGAGACAATGTGGAAACTGGTCTAGGAAGTAGTGTGGTAAAAACTCTAGCTCAACCACTTATCGATGAAGGTTGCTCAGCTCATATTAGCTTTGACAACTTTTTTTAGTAGTTATGACCTTCTTCAGTATTTATATAACCATGGCATATACAGTACAGCAACAGCGAGAAATGACAGATTGGGAATGCCTGTTTTAGTAAAGAAACCTATTGGTCATTCCTTGGTGTTATGCTAGATAGCAAATTGTCTGGAATTCCCCACATATCCTACATAGCTTCAAAATGCGAAAAAAATCTTAACGTCATTCGCGTTATATCAGGAGCTTGGTGAGGCTCTCATCCTTACTCCCAAAAGCTTTTATATAATGCTTTGATTAGAAGCCATTTTGACTATGCTTCCTTTTTGTGGGAACCATGCAATAAAAGTGCGCTTAAAACTTTGGATCAAATTCAAGTAAAATGCCTTCGCATTATAACAGGAGGAATGAAATCTACCCCCACTAACACTCTCCAGGTCGAGTGTGGTGAGAGTCCTCTCTTTCTTCGCAGGCAGTACCTAGCAGACAAATTCTGGTTCAAAAAGTGTTTTCTTCATAACCATCCGCTGTTCCATATACTAAACTCACTTCACCAACAAATTTCAATTTCCCCATACTGGCGACACAAAGATATACCATGTCTTTTAAAAAGCTATATAAAGTTTGTAAACATTCAATCTGCAATCTTCCAAAATAGCAACAACTTACTCTTCTCCACTCCCTACGAAGCACTAGTTTTCAATCCAAACGTCATCCTTGACTTTGGACTTGACAAGAAAACCATTGATCCTAACAGCAAATTAAAGAAAATCATCTCAGAAAATTGGCAAGACTGGATCATAATGTACACAGATGCTTCAAAAACTTCTAACAGAGATTGTGTAGGTTCTGCAGTTTGGATCCCTAAATATAGAATAATATTAAATTTTAAGTGCCCACTTGAATCATCAGTTCTCACAGGTGAATCTATTGCCATCTTAGAAGCAATTCTATATGCCGAATCTCACAACCTGGAAAATACCTTAATTCTTTCTGACTCCCTTAGCTGTCTCCAAACCATTATCTCCAGCTCCTTCCACTCTAAATCAAATCTTTTCCCTATCCTCTTTATTAAAAAAGCATTATATAATTGTCACAAAAAAGGCCTAAAAGTTGTTTTGGCTTGGATTCCAGGCCATTCTGAGATACGTGGTAATGAGTGTGCTGATTTCTTGGCTAAGAAAGCAACACGAACAGGTATCCTCTCTCAGTATCAAATTTTCCCCCATGACTCGCTTCCACTAGCAGGATCTGACTTCATGGCATCTTGGCAAGGTCTCTGGGACCAAACTAAAATCATAAAATGTAAACACTACACTCGGGTTCAAGACACAATCCCATACAAACCTTGGTTTTTCCATTATCGTGAAGCTAAGAAATTTACTACATCAACCATTTGCCGTCTTCGCTTTGGTCATTCTTGCACACCGGTACACCTAGCCAAATTAAGGATAAGGGATAATTCTTTATGTGAATGTGGTCTTGATGAAGGTTCAACCGATCACATATTTTTCGAATGTCCTCGACTCAAGTTCTCCTTGTATGATATCCTTCCTCAAAACAACCCTCGTCCTACTAACTCTACCTGTCTGCTGTCTCTCGTGTTCTCCTCATTTGTTCATATTTTATGTGATTATATTTATACTAATAGTATAATTAATAGAATCAGGCGTTACTTTGCGGAAATCCATTATATAAAAGCTTTTACAAAAATTTACTTCGCAAATATCCGCGTTATAAAATAAAATGATGTGTCTTACCTAGTATGAAGAAGCACCTCCCGCCCTCCCTCAATTGCGTGCACTATCCCCGTCACCACTAATCCCAGCACCGCTACTCCCAACACCACTACACTAGGCAAGACACACCACTGACGATAATACGACACGTGTTTCGCCTCTACACGAGGCATCCTCAGGTGATATAGACTCTACGGTGGCTAACCGCTAAGTGAGCGGCGAGCCAAAACAAGTGCCTTTTATACAAACCGATGATGCAACCGCTCTCTACCTAAGGAGCGAGCGACTGCGTCATGCGATAAAACATGCGACCAATCACCGCTAGACTTACGCAGCCGTTTGTAAAATTAAAAACAAACCGCCGCGCAACGCCCACATTATTAGAGAGCAGGCTTGAAGATATTTAAGAGAGGTGAGTTAGTAACATTTGTTTGTTCATTCAGCAATGCAACGGTATTATTATTACTTTTTAATATCTCTAACTGATCCAGCACACACAGCCGCAGCCCTTTATTACACGTATGTAAGACTTTAAAGGAGCGGTCGTTCGCTAGGTTGTGTCCAGTGTCCAAAAGATGTTTGGCAAAATGGGATTTATCGGGATTGCAATTCCTGTACGCGGCCAATATTATAAATGGACATGTTATCATCAATCTTTTGAAATGATTAACAATAACAAATACAATTAAATTATACATGTGTTTTATTATCCTTCCATAAACAATTTAAAACATCTTACTTCCTCACTATTTATCAGTGTATAATAACAGATAAAAATGACATTACCTAGTCATTTTGTCTTTAATGATGTTTGAGGTATGATAACTAATCAGTTAATATATTTTCAAACAAAGTTTTGACACCATGCCAGTCTATCTGTTCTACTGTTAATTGACTATTTTCGAAATTATGATTTACTATAATAAATGTAGATGCAATATAATTTGTTTTTATTCTTATACAACCAGTTGAAAACATATTTCTTACTAAATAACGTGTGTAGGTAATATTATAAATATACATATTATCCCTGACTCATCTTGGCTTTAATCTTATTACTTAAACGGTATTTGTGATGTATATTCACAATCCTTACACTACACACCAATGCTTACACACTACAAACGTGTCCTGTAGCTGTGTCAATATTGATGTAGTGGAACAACATACCTACCTTGGGCTTATCATTGATAGTCACCTTAGCTGGAAAGGGCGTATTGACCATATATGCGACAGACTTCGAGGAATTCTAGCCAAATTCTCTTTAATAAAATACAAAATACCATTCAATATAAGAATACAATTATGTATCTCATTACCAGAATCCATAATATCCTATGGTCTTTCTAGGTATGGTAGGACATATAAAACACACCTAGACCGTATTTACACCTTACAACTCCGTATTTTAAAAATCTTAGTACCAAAAACTGTCATGAACAAATTTAAAGACCAACAACATAATATCTTTAATTTCTGTAAAATATTACCTGTACATAATAAAGTAAAGTATATATTACTTATTGAGAATTTCTTTAATAAAAATCTACAAATTTCAATACAATACAATTTTAACACACGAAAGTCCAGAACGCCAAATTTAGCTTTACCAAAATTCATAAATCTATATGGAAAAGAAACGTTAGAATACATGATTCCCGATATTATAAACAAACTTCCATCACAACTAAAAAAACAAATTAATCAACGCAACATCAAAAATATATTAAAGAATTACTTCTTAAGTAACATATAATAAAAAAGAATTGTAAAATAAAAAAGAAATTGTATTATAAGTTACACATTAATATTCTACAACTCTATCAATAATATAAAATAAGTTTATCTTTAATATCATTAATTAGTATCAAAGTATATGAACAGCCTGTATATGCGAACTCGACGCGTCAAGCCAGGTAGGCAAAGGACGCACTAAGACCCGAGAGCAAACCGGTTTCTTGACTGTACGGGGAGCGCGGTTCAATGCGTGCATCACAACATTATGATAATAATGAAAAATATCAATTGAAATATTGTCAAATTATTATCAAATAAATAAATAAATAAAAAATCAATACATGTAAAAAATAGTATCCATACCACATTTGTGCACAGGCAGGCACTATATTATTTTGCCGGAACTATTAAAAGGATATTCCATCAATCTTAAAGTACCTATAAATGCTGAATGTAACTACAACTTTGTTTTATACTATTAATTATTGAACAGTGCACTATTTTAACTTATAATACCGGTGAAAACTAATAGACGATCGCTTTTACTTTGTTTTTAAGTTATAGTAAGATACATATTTTATTTGCTAATTTCTCAGTATTCCCGTTAGATACGGTGAAACTAATATTACTATTGTAATTTATAGATTATAATAAATAAATCGACATGCATTTCATTAAATTTCCCGAAAATTTGTGGTGGGCCCATTCTCAATACAAAAAGAAACTGTCTCCTTTTACTGCTGGTTTAATGTTTAAGTATTTTCATGATTTTTTTTAATGAAATTATCATTTTATTTAGCTGTACCGACATGATGGGGCGTGAATAAAGCTAATAAAACGTTGCGAAAAGATGATTTTTTTCCTCAGGGTCGATTTTATTTCTCACCCATCATCAAAGGTATAGTTAGTACTATCATCTGTCTTCGTTTTCGGAAGCGTTTCACAAACACCCGGTATGCTCCCTGAGAAAACATTTCAATGAATTATTAGTTATATTAAAAATTGTGTTCATAATTTAGACATAATATTGTTACGAGCTTGGGGTTCGAGACAATTAAAACTGCGGATTGAATTACCAAAGTTGACACTTTAATTACACAACACTAATTAAAATTTAAAACCACACTAATAAATAGGGGGTCATTGTAGAAGCGTGCTCGTCGCGACCCCTGCCAGCCCTTTTCAGGGCTGCAATTCTACTAGCTACGCACCCATGCCAACGAGGGTTAGGGCGTCCCCCCAAGGCGACGCACACCAGCTCGTCCCCGTTGGTGTGGAATGCAGCGTGCAAAGCGGCGATGGGGACCGCCACCCGTCACGCACAGCCCGACACGGCGGAAGGTGGAGGACAGAGTGCAGAGTTGGCACGTGGAATGTTAGAGGAGGCATGAGAGATAAGACGAATGAGTTGATCGAAATAATGAAAGAAAGAGAATTAGATGTCGTGTGTATGTCGGAGACCAAACGGAAGGGCAGTGGTACTGAAGAGCTCCCTGGCGGGGCGTTAGCTCTATGGTCAGGAGTCCCGGAGAGCGAGAGCGCCTGCCAGGGAGTGG